TGGTGTTCGGCCAATCACAATGCACTGGGTCAGCTGGCCAATCAGAGCAGACTGCGCTTGTCAAAGGAAGGGGCTTTGTTGAAAACGACGTGTTTGAGAGAGGCGGGGCATAGAGGACCTACAATAATGTACAGTATTTGAAAAATAATGTTTTTTTGAACATTAAAGCATGTCAACATATTCTGTTACACCAAATAATGATCTTTAAAAAAGCATCATATGACCCCTTTAATAGGATGACAGCTCAAATTGGAAAGCTGATTGGGTTGTGATGACGTTTTAGTGGACATATAGAGTAACTATACGATAAGTCACTCAAGCCCTTAATGATGGAATTAATTCAATTTTTGGGTTCTTTTTGTAAACAGAAACGCACACATATCCACCTTATTTTTCAACACGGAAGTAAATAAGCTGTTTTCTGTGAATGTTCAAGATTTTCAGTTCATTAGCTACTGTAGGGAAATAACGAAAAGAATAACAACGTGCAGTAAATGGTAAAACTGTTTGTGCTACAAACCAGTGTGTTTATAATTAATACATTAATGCAATATGGTAAGAAACACCAGTTTGCAATATCAAGCAGCAAAAAGAGCTGTTTTTACAGCCAAAAAACATGGAAGTGGATGACCCCGGAAACCAGACACATGAAATAAAAATTAAACTAAAAAATAAGGTGTTGTGTGTGTGTTTAAGGGGGTCTGAATACTTTCCGTACCCACTGTATATAAAATATTTATGTATGCATCATTAAGGGCCTGATTGACTTTTTTTTGGTATAGTTAATAATATATATACAACCACTAAAACATCTGCACACACATCACAAACATAATGATTACTATAACTATAACATTACAAGAATAACTACTTTTTTGTTTCACTTGAAAACAGAGAAATTGCTCAGAGGTCGTCTCTTTCATGCCAGACAGTACCTCATGAAGCATAAAACTACGATCACAATGGCACCCACTGAAAACTGTGATGTTCTTGTGACATTCCCAGGTGTGTAGGTTATGTCTTTCAGTTTTGCTCGTTTGCACTAATACAGTTATTGGTTAATGTAGATGTTTTTTGTCAGCTTCATAATATCACAAATGTTTTATATGTAACATTTGCTACCTTACAGTATGAATGTAATTGTACATTTGGTACATATAGCATCTTTTTACATCTATTTACAAAATATTTCAAAATAAAGTGTGATAATAGAATGTGAATTTCTTTGATCTACTGATGGACATATTTCAGCATGTTATCGTCTTTTCCACAGACACCACAGATGACCATACACTGTTATGGTTACTTAACCAAATCCGGTTGGGAATTCCACAAGTCAGAATCCAGATCCGGCAGCATAAATACACGCACACCTATGCATTCTTCATTACCTCAACCTTTGAGAAGTAAGATACAGTAGAAAACCTGCTCGACTCATCTCATCTCAGTTATTGTATTGTATTTTTCCATATAAATTGTCTGAAACGTTTGACAGATGGTCACTGGGTCCTACGTAAATACAGCATTAGATTGATTGTTGTTTTTTGTCTGAAGCTTGTTGCGTGGAGCTGAACAGATGGGGATGCAAAAGGCAGTGAAGCCACGCTACGGAGGCGGCACTCGCAGGTTTTCATGTGAGGAGGATGACATCTATGAAAACATCGAGAGTGAGCTGTGTTTCTTCACATCACAGGTCTGCCATTAATCTCTCATTTCTTGTCTTCTCATATGAAATCATTAGATGTCAACACAATCTAGTGGCATTACGTAATTAGTTTGTTTTGGCAAACTGGTGGCTAATTTGCATGAATTTGTACAATCTCAATCATACATTTTCGTACAATCTGTTTATACCCCACTGATGTTTAATTTAAAGGTTTAAAGGAGGACCTTCATTGTTTAATTTTTTTTAATCTCATGTTTCCGTACAAATCACAAATAACATTTTCTCATGAGATTGCATCAGTTTTTCTCTGTTACTTCTTTAGGAGCGTCAGAGTATTATCAAATATTGGTTGGATAATCTGCGGGCGAAACATGGCGAGGCCCTTCATAACATTCACTTCCTGGAGGGCCAACCAATCAGTACATATTTTAACATTTCTTTTCTAAAATGTCTATCAAGATTAAAGGGGTCATATGATGCTATTTTAATTATAACCAGGGGTGTGATTCTTCAAATGTTTCCTCTTCATGAGCAGAGAATCCTGAATCAGCTGATGACGTCCTGGGTTCAGGCAGTCTGTGAGAGGCAACCTCTAGGTGAGAACGCCTGTGCTTTTGCCAACATGCACAGGAGTCAACTACCTTTTTAGTTATTCTGAAATGGTTGGTGCTTTCCAATGGTTGTATAATGAGATTTCAGGCCAAGGCTCTTCCTTTAGCAAACAAACTTATGTGTACCTACCTGCTTTCTTCAGTACAGAACGATTTGCTCTGAGCAAATATGAAGTGCTACAGTATGAATTCTTAATGCAATCTACGAGTCACTACATGTTTTGTTATGTGTAATGAGATCTCTAAGAAGGAGACCCTCTTATAAGGAAACGTGATACATTTTGGAACTATGATGTTAGTTAGCATTTCACCTTAGCGCCAATCTAACAATATTTTAGTAAAAAATTAAATCAACAGGGCCTTTTATCTTGGGGGTTGCCCATATAATAATGCAAACATGGCCGATTTTATTCATATTGTTATATTGCAAAAAAGCAGATTAAGCCTAATTGTTTTGTTGTCCCATTCCGGACAGATGACGTGTGTGATTATTTTGGTGTGAAGATTGGCATGTACTTTGCTTGGTTGGGCTTTTACACCAGCTCTATGCTGTATCCAGCAGTGATTGGCTTTCTGCTCTGGATCTTTGCTGAGTCTGATCAGGCAGGTTGTTTTCCTTGATATCACAATCCTATAGCTTTAGAATGGAAGTATATAAAGTATACAAGAGTTTGTTATTTGGTTAGAAGGCACGGTTTTATCACCAACCTTTTCTGATATGCAGACAAGTCAGGATATCTGCTGTGTGGTGTTTGCCCTTTTCAATGTGGTGTGGGCAACACTCTTCCTGGAGAGATGGAAGCGGCGGGAAGCAGAACTGGCATATAAGTGGGGAACGCTGGACACCCCAGCAGAGTCACTTGAGGAACCCCGTCCACAGTTCCGGGTGTGCTGACATCATTTTTATGGAACCTTAAATTATTAGACACAAAATGTTTGATAACAGCAGGTGAAGGTCATTAATGACCACCTCTATTTATATACAAGTCATTCTAATATGCTGATTTAGTGTGTCAAGACTTTGACCTTTGATAAATAGAATGTTTAAAAGAACAGCATTTATTTGAAATATATATATATATATATATATAGATGATAGATAGATAGATATATAATATATACACACACACACACACACACACACACACATAGTTGTACTCATAAGTTTACATACCCCTTGCAGAATGTGCAAAATGTTAATAATTGAAACAAAATAAGAGGGATCATGAAAATTGCATGTTATTTTTATTTAGTACTGTCCTGAATAAGCTATTTCACTTAACAGACGTTGAGCTTGAAAAGAGTCCGCACATTCAAACATTAAAGCATCACAAGCGAGATGAGAACAATATATGCAATTTACTGAATAAAACAAGGCAAACGTTTCGGTCACATGTTGACCATTTTCAATGCCAAGCTAACAGTGTTAGAACTAGAAGCCATCTTAATTTAAGGAATCACATGATAATTAAAGAGATCACATGATCAATCAGGACACACACAGAGAAAAAAAATAAATAAATAAAAAAAGGCCACAATGTGTGTATATGTAGAGCAATGGATAATTTACATCAAATTAGAGAACAATGGTTGTCTGTTGGAGTTAACAAAAGTACTGTTCATAAAAAACAAGACAATTGAAGTTCTTCATTTAATCCTTTCGGATATACACAGTCCATATAATAGATCAATTTAGCTTCACATTGTAACAGCCTTTTGTTAGAATCACCACCTCTTCTTGAACAGGTCAATCTCTGAATACCTGTAAATCTCATATCACTAAATTTATGGTCAGCATCCGCAAAATGTCTGGCCACAGAAGAATGAATATCCATCCTTCTAATAGAGCTCCTGTGCTTGTTGATGCGGGTCTTTAATTGACGATTGGTCTTGCCAATATATTGTAGACCACATGGGCATGAAATAAGATAAATAACAAAAGATGATGAACAAGTGATAGTCTCTCTAATTTTGAATGTTTTCTGAGTGGTGGTGCTAGTGAAAGAATCCGTTTTAATTGCATTTTCACAAGCTGAACAAATCCTGCATGGGAAGAAGCCAGTCGAATGATCCAAAGTCACATATTTGTTCTCCTTAATGAAGGTATCTGAACTGACTAGATGAACTTAGTGATATGAGATTTACAGGTATTCAGAGATTGATCAGCTCAAGAAGAGGTGGTGATTCTAACAAAAGACTGTTACAATGTGAAGCTAAGTGGATCTATTATATGGACTGTGTATATCCGAAAGGATTAAATGAAGAACTTCAATTGTCTTGTCTTTTATGAACAGTACTTTTGTTAACTCCAACAGACAACCATTGTTCTCTAATTTGATGTAAATTATCCATTGCTCTACATATACACACATTGTGGCCTTTTTTTATTTATTTATTTTTTTTCTCTGTGTGTGTCCTGATTGATCATGTGATCTCTTTAATTATCATGTGATTCCTTAAATTAAGATGGCTTCTAGTTCTAACACTGTTAGCTTGGCATTGAAAATGGTCAACATGTGACCGAAACGTTTGCCTTGTTTTATTCAGTAAATTGCATATATTGTTCTCATCTCGCTTGTGATGCTTTAATGTTTGAATGTGCGGACTCTTTTCAAGCTCTTCATCTTTGGGTAACCTTTTTTGGTCTACGCACTTGAGTTGGATTTTTTTGAAGGTGCGGTGAATCTCTGGCTGCTTCTACATAACAGATGTTTACATATACTCCACAAGACGACAAAATAACTGAATTTATAAAAATTTCTTTAATTATTATGAATCTTAATACTATGTGTCATTTCTTGGATGATCCAGTTCAACTGCCTGCTGTTCTTCAGAAAAATCCTCCAGCTCCTGCACATTCTTTGGTTTTCCAGCATCTTCTGCATATTTGAACCTTTTCCAAAAGTGACTGTATGATTTTGAGATCCATGCTTTCACACTGTGGACAACTGAGGGACTCATACACAACTATTACAAACTAAACTTTTGAACAGGATGATGATGTGTAAATTAAAAGATGGATTTCAAAATTATACAGTCAATGTTGGAAAGGGTTCAAATATGCAGAAGATGCTGGAAAACCAAAGAATGTGCAGGAGCTGGAGGATTTTTCTGAAGAACAGCAGGCAGTTAAACTCCTCAGGACCAACAAGGGACTCATGAACAACTATCACAAAATATAAAAACAGTCGTGGATCATCCTGGAAATGACACATAGTATTAAGATTCAAGGGTATGTAAACTTTTGAATGGGGTAATTTTTATAAATTCACTTATTATTTTGTCTTGTGGCATATATGTAAACATCTGTAATATGAAATAGCTTATTCAGGACAGTACTATATATATTACTGACTAGTATACTTTTTTTATACTTTAAAAATTTTTTTGCTACATGTATATCAGGGAATTAAGCGTCGCAGTCCAGTGACTGGCTGTGAAGAGTTTTTCTACCCACCCTGGAAGAGGAGAATGTTCCGCTGGTTGGTCAGCCTTCCCATCTGCATCCTTTGTCTCTGCTTCGTCTGTTTGGCCATGTTTATCTGCCTGGAGCTTCAAGTAAGGATACTCTGTAACGTTTGTTACAAAACTTGCTACAGCAGATTATTTCAAATAAAATCTGCAATGAAGTTTCAAATATATTTGTTTTCCATATTCAACTAAACATTGTTTATGGATATTCAGGATTCATGACTTCTGTCTCTTACAGGAATTTGTCATGGAAACAAAGGAGTTGCCAAGCATATGTAGATTTTTCCCAAAAATTCTTCTTGCTGTAACTGTTACTGTATGTGATGAAGTGTATAAGAAAATAGCTCTCTGGCTCAATGATATGGGTAAGACTTAAATCTGTTAATAACATTTACAACATTAAATGTGTATTTGTATTTTCATTACACAGTACGTGTTACTGAATTTAGCCAGATTGGGACATAAATTGGGTCATTATATTAGCAGCAAACTTGCATTTTTGGTTATTTCACAGCTTGTTTGTTTATTATAGTTTTTTTTTTCCTCAGTGACACCTGTTTGTTCATTTTTTCAATTTTAACAGAAAATTACAGACTTCAAAGCACTTATGACAATAATCTCATCCTCAAGACTGTTTTTGTAAGTTTAATGCTTTATTTCATCTATTTCTATATACCAGGAAATGTTCAGTTTATTAATGTATCATCATACTGTAAAAAACGTGTATTTGATGAATTTATGAAGTATTGTGTATATCTGTAATGGTTAAATATCGTGTTCTGCATTTTAAAGTTTCAGTTCATAAATTCTTACCTCAGCCTTTTCTACATTGGATTTTATCTCAAAGACATGGAGCGGTTAAAAGAGGTAATACACAGACGGCAGAATAATATTAAAACAACAAAGTGTCATGAATGAATCATTCTGCAGCCCAGACAAAAAATGACTCTTTAATTTACAGATGCTGGCCACGTTGTTGATCTTCCGCCAATTTCTACAAAATATCAAAGAAGTGCTGCAGCCGGATCTCTATGAGCACCATACATTAGGTGCTCTGAGGACATTATGGGACTTAATTCAAACCATGCTCCTGAACTATGGTCATTTAATAGTGCAAAGGATACGACTGACTTGCCAAGCCAGTCTGGATGTGAATAAAAGTGGCTCACCTCCAGAGCAATCAGAAAAGAGAGAAAGGAGGAGTTTAATCGCCAGCTACAGAGTTCCCAAAACAGAGGAAGGGGATGATGATGCTGGACTAAAGCAAAGGAAGGTCAGCTTCACCGAGAAGGTGGAATACAAGGACAAGGTTGTGGAAGCACCGACACAGGCCAGCTTACAGGACGATGGCAGTCCTACCCTTGTGGAGAAAGGAATGGATCCATCCTTAATATTTGATATACGTGATGATGACGATGATGATGATGATGATGATAATGATGATAGAGACATGGATGATTCCGTGAGTAAACCTCAAGGAACTCAGAGAAGAAAGATCAAATCTGCTGGGGAAAACAACATTACGGAAAAGAAAATGTCCTGGATGGATCCTCCAGAGGAGAACAAATCCACTGTTTTGACCCAACCAGAGATTGAAAGTTGCATGCTAACTTATGAGGTCTGTGCTCCTCCATCTATATCATCGGCCTGACCAGCTGATGCCGTTATTAATCATACAAGTTTAGAAATGCTATTTATGCGACTTATTTGCTACTTTCTGAACCCAATGGCTGGTTTACAAACTGTATCAAAAACAAGATAATTTTCTTTTATTTCAACTTGCAGGATACTCTTCAGGATTACCAGGAGATGTTCATACAGTTTGGCTACGTTGTGCTCTTCTCTTCTGCATTTCCTCTGGCAGCCATGTGTGCCCTCATAAACAACATTGTAGAAATCCGAAGCGATGCGTTAAAACTTTGCACAGGCCTCCAGAGACCCTTTGGGCAAAGGGTTGAAAACATTGGACAATGGCAGGTCAGGAGATCCATTCAGAGTAATTGCTTAGTAAATTATTCATAGCCGATTGTATTTCTTGTTTGTGTTCATTTGCTTTTGTTTGTTCTTCAAATTCAAACAGACCGCAATGGAGGCAATGGGTCTGATCGCAATAATTGTGAACTGTTACCTCATTGGCCAGTGTGGACAGCTGCAACGACTCTTCCCCTGGTTGAGCCCTGAGATGGCCATTATCTCTGTTGTAGTGCTAGAGGTAAGAATGAATAGCAAAAAAACTGCAAAAAGGTTTGTGGTCAGTAAGATTTTTTGTATGCTCAACAAGGCTGCATGTATTTGATCAAAAATACAGTAAAAACAGTAATATTGTGAAATATTATTTTAAAATAACTGTTGTCTATTTCAGTATATTTTAAGAAATAATTTATTCCTTTGATGGCAAAGCTGAATATTCAGCATCATTACTCCAGTCTTCAGTGTTACACGATCCTTCAAATATCATTCTACTATGCTGATTTGGTGCTCAAGAAACATTTATTTTTATTGTTAATAATATATGTTAAAAAACAGTTGTGCTGCTTAATATTTTTGTGAAAACCATGATATATTTTTCTCAGGAAGAAAGTTCAAAAGAACAGGATTTGAAATAGAATCTTTTATAATACTGTAAATGTCTTCTGATAAGTAATTGCTGAATAAAGGTATTAATTTCCTAAAAAACATTTTGTAGTGTGTATATACATTGTGTATAACAAAACCTAAATCTTGGCTAAATTATATATAAAATGTAGTAAATGGAATGTAACCCTTCTCATATGGTTTTCAGCACTTCGCCATTCTGCTCAAATATATAATTCATGTTGCAATTCCTGATATTCCAAACTGGGTGGCAGATGAGATGGCCAAACTTGAATACCAGCGGAGAGAGGCTCTCAAGGTAGCACAGCACATGAGTGTAGACTAACAATGTCCATTGCAATGTCTAAATGTCATTTTAATGTGTATATCATCATGTTGAGAAGAAAAAAAAATCTTGGTTTGTTGAGTTAAAAGGGTGTGTCATTGTCTGTTTCTGCATCAGAAACATGAACGCCTAGCACAGCAGCACCAGCAGCAGCAAAGGAGGAAGTCTGAAGAAGAAGAGGAGCATCAAAAAATGGCAGAGGAATTGGCACGACAAGATCAAGTCAAGTCCGATCTGAATGGAGGTGAAGAACATCACCATGAAAAAAGCCCAGGGGCCAAGTTCAGCTCCGGAGATAAACTCAAGAGACCCAGCTCCCTTTTAGGCAACAATAATGTAATGAAACTTAAACAGATAATCCCACTTCAGGGTAAATTCACCTCTACCACTTCTCCCACAAGCGGTGAGGCCAAACTTCCAGGCTTTCTGAAGTTCCTCAAATCCCAAGAATTAAAAAAGGAAGCCGCTGCAGCAGTCGCACAAGCAGCTACACATGGGAGCCACGAGAGATCACAGTCTCCCAGCAAGTCCTTCAATCCAGGCAAACTCTTCAACTTTGGGAAGGAAAATCCATGTACTGGTGCTGGTTCTGAACAAGTGAAACCAGAAGATGCCTCAAGGGCCACTAATGCACAACACACAAATATTGCCCAAAACCCTTCATCAGAAGAGCTTCCATCTGAGGTCGAAAAGAGTGAAAGCTCAGGCTTTGGTTCTAATCCTTCAAAAAAACAGTGAATGAAATGGTGATACTACTCAGTTAATATATAGCACTGATTGTAATGCTTAACATTTGCTTAAATGTGGTAAAGCAACCATGTAGTGAGTGGAACTGCATGTCAAAAATAATTTTAATACAATATATTAATCGGAGACCTCCATATAGTTTACTCACTAAAGGCGGCATGCTAAGTCACCTGCATGATAAAATCAGTTTAGGCATGGGCAAGCAAGAAAGGACGTTTGAATGAGCACTGTAAAATGTATAGATTTTATATTTTTCTATGCATTATTTTTCTTATTTGAAACAGTAAATATGACAATCTAAAAACAATGCATTGTCCTTGCTAATTTTGATCTTATGTGTGAACCCACAATGCAATAAAATGGAATTACTGTGAAAAGAAATAAAAAAAAAGGTATATCAGACACAATATTCACCGTTACTTCAAAGGCCGTTTTTTTTTTTTTTTTTTTTTACTTTTATACTATTATAATACAAATTAAATGCATATACAATTGCTTATAAAAATGAACTATAATACTTACAATAAAATGTGATACAATACACCATGACAAATGCAGGTTTTTTATTAACATTATAATAACATTTTTTAAACTAGTCAGAATAATGGGAACAAAATCTGATCATGACAAATGTAATTTTTATGTGTATATTATTTTTTATCTTCTCACCTATACCTCTTGTCTTTTCCCATTCTGATTACTTATATGTATGCTCATGTTATTCAAAAATCAAACAGTAAATGCTCTGATCTGAGTGTAACACTACATACAGCAAAAACTTTGACATGAATATGCTCAACTGGAAGTATCAAGGAGGATAAGATCCATCAAACTGAATAAACACCCCCCCCCC